AAATCAAATAAATCCAGTGATGGGGCAGAGGTGATGAGAAAAACAATACAAGTGCAATGTGCCTGTACTATAAAAACAACACAAGGCACTCACCTGTCCAGGAACTCACCTGTCCAGGTACCCTCATACAATACCTGCACTTGCTCCCAAACACAGGTTTAGGTGCCCTTTTGCTGCTTTTAAAAGTCAAAGCATCCCCCTCCTCGACACATGAAATGCAGGTGGATGCACCCAGAGAAATGCTTTGCTTTGGTGGGTGTCCTTTATTTTGGTGGCTGTGCTTTATTTGCTGCTGAAGGTCCCAAACCAGCTGAGGTTGTGTCACCCTCACTTCCCCAAAGGGCAGGGCAGCCCTGGCCTTGCAGCCTGGCAGAAGAAAGCCTGGATTCACTGCTGGTTTGGGTGCAGGGCTCCAAGGCACAGCCCCATTAATCCTGGTTTTCCTCAGTCCCATCCACTGCCCCCTCCAGCAAACGCCCCAGGGCTTTCAGCAGGAACAAAACAGCCCCCAGAGTGATGGAAAAACAGGCACTTGACCATGGACAGGAGACAAGTGCTGAGCCTCAGCACCGAGCAGGCTCTGGGTCTGCTGGTTCAGCTGCATTTTGCCTTCACACCGAGCACTTTCAAACCACAGCTTTCATCTGTGCCCTTTCCTCGCAGCCACCCGCCCCTGAACACCCAGTTCCCACCTTTCCTGAGGTGTTTTTATTCTCTTGTGGGTGTGGGGGGAGTTCTTGGGGACTGTTTGAAAGAGTCAACAAACAACACCTCTGTAGCTGTTGGAGGTTAAGGAGTTCCCTCTTCTACAAGGCAGGGAAAAGCAGCACAGCTTGGTTCATTATCCTTAAGGCCACTGCAGATTATGAACCTAAGTTTGCTCACAAAACGAGTTTAACACCAATAAACTGTCTTTCAATCACACCTTCTTCTTGAAGAGACTGTGAAAGCTTCTTCAAAGCTCCTTGTCTTTGCATTTTGTGGTTTGTGAAGGAAACAAACCGAGTCTGACTCTCAAAGCACACACAGGTTTCCTTCCCTTCTTTATCGACAAAGGATAAAATTGATTTCGTGTTTATAAAGAAGAGGGATGGAAGTAACTTGAAATCAAGAGCTGGAATTAGCCACACAGTAACCTGAAAACAGCTCCCCTGCTTTGCAGACAGGGTTTCTTTGTCGTCATTAATGTAAAATCTCACAACTTCAACGTCGTTTTCACTCGTTTGTTCATGAAAACTGACTTTGGCAAGCACTGCTGTGGCTGCAAAAATCTGCAGCAGCTCCTTCTGTCCCACTCTGGGTCCCACATCCCCCTGGCCAGACCCTCAGCCTGTACCTGTGCTTGTTTAGGATTTACAGTGTGGGACCTCCTCCCTGAGCCTGGGCAGGCTGGTGTGTTTGAACCAGAGCTCTGACAGCAACACCCTCCTGTGAGAACTGTGCTGGCTTAACCCACTGGTCCTAAAACACCCTAAAATACCACTTTCCCACCCCCATTTCCACTTAGTGTCCCTTAGGGCAACAAAGGCACCACACTCTATTCACGGGAGGTGCTGCCACGGATCCAATTAAATGCCATGAATATTTCTGAGTGATAAAATTCAAAACCTTAGAGGGAGGACAACCAAAAAAGGTGCCTGTGTGCCATTCCATGGTCAGGTGCTGCTATCTGGTGGCCCAGCACCAGCAGTGCCAGTAGGGTCCCCAGCCACCCCAAGCTGAATGGAATTCAAACCCTGCAGAGCAACACTTATTTCCCACCCAATTTTGTGGGATTAATGAATGCATTGGTTATTCCCCTAATTATTATTAGGGGGTTATAGCAGCTGGCAGTGCCCAGGGTGTTGCAATCAGCAGGCACAGGCCGAGGGGACGCTGAGGGACAGTCCTGTTGTTGTCCTGTGCCAAGGTCAGCTGGGACAGGGTAATTTGTTCACAGTGGTTTGCCCAGGGCTGTGATTGGGGTGTGGGATGAAAAGAGGGATGATCACACAGGGATGGTTCAGTTCCTGCTGAACAGGGCTTGCACAGAGGCCTCTTCTGCTCCTTACCCCATCAGTAGAGCCTGGAGGAGAACAAGGAGCTGGGAGGGGACACAGCCAGGACAGGAGACCCCAAGGGACGCCCCAGAACTTGTGGGGTCACACTCAGCATAAGAGAGCTGGGGGAAGGAGGAGGAAAGGGAGACAGGGGTGGGATTTTTCCTCCCTAGTCACCATTAGGTGTGAGGAATAAATTTCATGGTTTGCCTTCATTTTGCCAATTAAATTGCCAAGCACAAGCTCTCCAGCATTGCTCTGCCCCCAGGTACCACACACAGCCCTGGCACTACGACCCAAAAATGAAGTGTGGGGATTTGAATACCACAGGCAGCTGAGAGTGGGGTTTGCCTCGTTTGGAAGTGACCTCATGGAGGGATCATGCTGATCCCTGGCTGGGATGCACAGGAACAGCTCCAAGCTGTGCTGCAGGGTTAGAGTGGACAGGGAAATGCTTCCCTACTGACAGGGAGGGCAAACTTCAACACCAGGTCTCTCCCAGCCCTGCTCAGGCAGAGGGACTGGATTAATTCCCTTCCTGCTGATCCTGTCCTAGAGGTTTTTACGGACTGCACTTGCAACTGAGAACTGGAACTCTGTTCCAGGTTTCACTGGGACCAGACTGCTTCTATATAATTATGATACATTAATAAATATACCAGCAGTTTCCATGAAGTGTCTATACTGCCTCTTACTGCTGACAAGGCCGCCCAAAACCACCTCTCCCCACCCAGCAACAGTTTCTCTGAACTTTAATTATCTTTATTTACCCTTCTTTTCCCTTTATTTACAAATACAAGTAAGTGAAGACAGAGACAGTGTGATGCCCATTAAATAGCTTTTATTCTTTAGGACATGAACTGCATTTCCACTCATTACAGTACTGTAAAGTGCAATGGTTTCATCTCCCTCCTGTGCACACTTTCAAGTATTTAAAATGCCCAGAAAATGTTTCTTTTTTCTTTTAATTTTTGTTTTCTTTTTTTTACAGCAGCTGAGTTATGGAGTTTTAATCTGGCAAAAACCAACCCAGATGTGCCTACAGGTTTGGGTCCTTCACTCTACCCCCCACCTGGGGGTCCTCCAACACTAACTGCTAGTGGAATGCATTTCCCAGTGTCCTTAGTCCACCTCCTCGATGGTTGGTCCAGAAGAGGCTCCCCCAGAGGGAGGAGCTCCACCACCTGGGAATCCTCCAGGCATCCCACCGGGCATCCCTCCAGCGCTCTGGTACAGCTTGGTGATGATGGGGTTGCAAACCTTCTCCAGCTCCTTTTGCTGGTGCTCAAACTCCTCCTTCTCTGCAGTCTGGAAAAGATAAGAGCTCGGTTAACTTTGCTCTCATTCACGGAGCACAGCCCAGGGACAAAACAGGGTTATATATTCCAAGAATCCAGGCTTATTTTCAGTCCAGATCATTATTATTTTAGCTTATGCTCAGCCCCACCAACTTAGATTTGCATTGGATAGGTGCAAGGTAACTGCTACTTTGTTCAACACAACCTCCTGTTGCTCCAGGAGCAACATGTGAGGTCAAAACCCAGCTGGAAAAAGGAGGGAGTGGAAGCTGTGGTCGCTCAGACATCCAAGGAAGGAACTTGGACCAACACAAGTCTTTCGACTTCTGGTGGAAACTACGAATGGCTTTGGAATCACTTTCATCACAGCAACCAGCGCTCCTCCACCCTCCTGGAGCAGCCCAGCCGGGACACCAGGAGCACGGAATGTCACCTACCTGATTCTTGTCCAGCCAGTTGATGATCTCATTGCATTTGTCCAGGATTTTCTGCTTGTCTTCATCAGAGATCTTGCCCTGGAGCTTCTCATCCTCCACAGTTGCTTTCATGTTGAAGGCATAGGACTCCAGGGAGTTCTTGGAGGACACCTTATCCCTCTGCTTCTCATCCTCTGCCTTGTACTTCTCTGCCTCCTGCACCATCCTCTCAATGTCTTCCTTGCTCAGCCGGCCTGCAGAACACAGGGTATGGTTTGTGCTCAGTCACAAATTCACACAAGTTGAAAATTACACATTTCTGGTTAGTTTGGGCAGGCAAAGGAGGCCCAGAATGTGCCTTCTTAGGAACTCAAGAACTACTGCACCAGCAGCAAACCAAGGCTCACTGCTTTACATCAATGTGAAAATGCCAATTACAGCCAAACTGTGATTAAAGGGCACAGTTCCAGCCTCCCACCCTCAGGAACATGTGGGTCCTTACCCTTGTCATTTGTGATGGTGATCTTGTTCTCCTTGCCAGTGCTCTTGTCCACAGCAGACACGTTCAGGATGCCATTGGCATCAATATCAAAGGTTACTTCAATCTGAGGGACTCCTCTGGGAGCAGGGGGAATGCCAGTCAGCTCGAACTTGCCCAGCAAGTTGTTGTCCTTAGTCATAGCACGTTCTCCTTCGTACACCTGGTGAGCAAAACCAGCCAGTTATGTCATTAAGGTTGACATTATTAAACCATAATGAACTATTCATTATCCTGAGGGGATGTGGTCGCTCAGACATCCAAGGAAGGAACTTGGACCAACACAAGTCTTTCGACTTCTGGTGGAAACTACGAATGGCTTTGGAATCACTTTCATCACAGCAACCAGGGACTTAAGAACTGCCAGGACACACCACCTCTGGCCTAGGAATTACTGGAACTATCTCATCCCAGAGCTCCGTGCTTACCTGAATCAGCACACCAGGCTGGTTGTCAGAGTAAGTGGTGAAGGTCTGGGTCTGCTTGGTGGGGATGGTGGTGTTGCGCTTGATCAGCACTGTCATGACACCTCCTGCTGTCTCAATACCCAGGGACAGCGGAGTCACATCCAGCAGCAGCAGGTCCTGCACGTTCTCAGACTTGTCTCCAGACAGAATTGCAGCCTGTACAGCTGGGGGGAGAGAAAGGATAAGTATTAGGAGCCAGACAATGCTACAGATAAACTTCATACTACAGCTATGCACATGGCTCGCTCAGACATCCAAGGAAGACTTTGGCCATCATTAGACTTCTGGTGGAAACTACGAATGGCTTTGGAATCTGATTCATCATTGCAAGTCCAAGGAAGATTTGCTGGTTTGAAGAGCTTTAGTGACCCAGGTGGAAAACACACAGCCTAACACCTGCACTGCTCTGAGACTTAACCCAGCAGAGTTTGTACCACCACCTCCCACAGCTGTAGCATGTAACAGTGACATTGCAGTTACCTGCACCGTAGGCCACGGCCTCATCAGGGTTGATGCTCTTGTTGAGCTCTTTGCCGTTGAAGAAGTCCTGCAGCAGCTTCTGGATCTTGGGGATGCGCGTGGAGCCGCCCACCAGCACGATGTCGTGGATCTGCGACTTGTCGAGCTTGGCGTCCCTCAGGGCCTTCTCCACGGGGTCCAGGGTGCCTCGGAACAGGTCGGCGTTGAGCTCCTCGAAGCGAGCCCTGGTGATGGAGGTGTAGAAGTCGATGCCCTCGTAGAGGGAGTCGATCTCGATGCTGGCCTGGGTGGAGGAGGACAGGGTGCGCTTGGCGCGCTCGCAGGCGGTGCGCAGGCGGCGCACGGCGCGCTTGTTCTCGCTGATGTCCTTCTTGTGCTTGCGCTTGAACTCGGCGATGAAGTGGTTCACCATGCGGTTGTCGAAGTCCTCCCCACCCAAGTGGGTGTCCCCAGCAGTGGATTTCACCTCAAAGATCCCATCTTCGATGGTCAGGATGGACACATCGAAGGTGCCGCCGCCCAGGTCGAAGATGAGGACGTTCCTTTCAGCACCCACCTGGGAGAGATCAAAGTTCATTAATTCACCTCCTACTGCTGGGTTATCAATTTTCTGTTTGCCCACTAGACAGCTAAATACACATTATATAGACTTTATTACAGCTTTCAGTAGTTTTAGAATACAAACCTTAGCTAAGCACCTTTTGAACTGGATTTCTGAAATGTTGTTAGTATTTCTTGTTAGGGATTCCAACAGATAAGGACTTTTAGAACATTTTATCTGTACAAAATGTACTCAAGATTTAACACATAGCAGGCACATTGTTTTATGTAACTGAATCAAAGGTGCTCAGAGGACTCAGAAGCCTTGAAGCTGTTCCAAGAAACGTGGAATTGTAAATATGTTTCATTCCTATAGTGTTGTGTGTACAATATGTAACTTGTGTTTCATTAAAGAACTGCTTTGTACTTGTTTATACTCAAAATAAACCAGAAAATGATTTCCTTAATTTAGGTAACAGCGACCACTCCATACCTTCTTGTCCAGCCCATAGGCAATGGCAGCTGCTGTGGGCTCATTGATGATTCTCAGGACGTTGAGCCCTGCAATGGTTCCAGCATCTTTCGTGGCCTGGCGCTGGGAGTCGTTGAAATAGGCAGGGACAGTCACCACTGCGTTAGTAACAGTCTGCAAAACAGCAACCAACAGCTCAGTTACCCTGTCAACTGCTCACAGAATTACTCACAATATTCCACTTGAGTCTTAAACCTCACCTTTCCAAGATAAGCCTCTGCAATTTCCTTCATTTTGGTTAAAACCATGGAAGAGATTTCTTCTGGGTAGAAACTCTTTGTCTCGCCCTTGTACTCCACCTGCACTTTGGGCCTGCCAGCATCGTTCACCACAGTGAAGGGCCAGTGCTTCATGTCAGACTGGACCACAGAGTCGTCGAATCTGCGCCCAATCAACCGTTTTGCATCTGGAAAACACACCATTTCACCATTGTTATTATGTTTATTCATTATTAAAACAACAAATTCTTCCTAAAAAACGTAGAAAAGCCAGGAATATTATCCTTAATCTGGAATTATTACTGTTTGGCTGCAGACACTATGTTTCACCTCTTGGATAAATACCATCCCTGCAGATTAATTAATTAGCAGTAATCTAGATGTGTTAATCGTGCTAAAAGCAAATTAAGGCTTTTGAATTGCAAGAGGAAGTTCTAACCCTGCTATTAGTAATTACTGTAATCAGGTAACATTTATCACTGTGCTGAGTTTCTGTACACCAGGTCTGCTAGTCCTGCAGCCTTACCAAACACTGTGTTGGTTGGGTTCATGGCCACCTGGTTCTTGGCAGCATCTCCAATCAGCCTCTCTGTGTCTGTGAAGGCCACGTAGCTCGGTGTGGTCCTGTTCCCCTGGTCATTGGCAATGATTTCCACCTTCCCGTGCTGGAACACGCCAACACAGGAATAGGTGGTGCCAAGATCGATCCCGACAGCTGGTCCCTTCGACATCTTGTCTGGAAAATAAAATAAAAAAAACCGGTTATTTTAAGATCCCTTCCGATCTAAATCTCTCCGCTGCTCCAGGATGAGCCCTGCAGTGCCATTCCCGTTATCCGACGTGGCGCCGGGGGCACACCGGGTGCATTCCCACCTTCCGCCGCTTGGCGTCCCTTGCGCCCCCTCCGACCACGTGGGGCGGGACTACAATTCCCGGCGTGCCCCGCGCCGCCCGCACCGCGTGACGGAAGCAGCGCGGCGGGCCCGGGGGCCGCCGGGAAACGGAGTCCCTGGCACAGCCCCAGCCCCGTGCGGCACCGGCCCCGCTGCGAGCCGCCCTCCCGCAACACCCCGTACGTGGCCGCTTTTCCGCTCCCTCTTCCTTCCTCCCCACCTTCGGGCACTGCATCCCCCGGGGCGGCCCCTCAGGGAGGACACTGGCGCGCTGCGTTTCCCGCAGTGCTCCCCCGCTCCCGCCCGATTCGTTAGGAAGGGGGAGGGGGGGAGTGGAAAAAACCACCCAGAGAACAGGGGAAAAAAAAACGGAAAAAAAAAAAACCACCGCGGCGGCCAAAAACGCGGCCGCACCCACTACCCCAGCCCGATCCCCTTAGCGATAAGGGCCTTTCTGAAGACACAAAACCACCCGCGCTCCCCCCAGGCCGACCCAAAGCTCTAAATCTCCCTCTCCCCGCGCCTTTCCCCACGCAGCCATACCCCTCCCGCACCCCCCGCGTGTCGCACAGTCTCCCCCAGCGCCGTTACCCGCAGTCGGGCCCGGTCTGTTTCTTACACAGGGTCAAGGGCTCTGCTCGGCTCCTGCTCGCCCAATGCCCCGCGCCCGCCGCGCCGCCCTTTTATAGCCGCCCAGAACCTTCCAGAAGGACACGCCCCGCAAGCCTTGACCCAGCCAATCAGCGCGCGGGTCCCTCCCCCTTGCCCGCCGCTGATTGGTCGCCGCCCGGCGTGACGCGCGCCGGAAGGGGGCGTGGCGCGCCGGCCGGCCCCGCGTTCTCGAACCTTCATGCACTTTCCCAGTGCCCCCCCCAGCCCGCCGTGAGCGGGGCGGGGCTTTCCGAAACCCGCGGCCAATCAGAGCCCGCGTCTCCGGTGGCGACACCCAGGGGCGGGGAGAAAGAGAGCGCGGCAGCCAATGGGTGCGCAGCGCGCCCGGGGGGTCATTTGCATATTTCGCAGCGGGGCCAATGGGACCGCCGAGAGGGAGGCTCATTTGCATAGAGGGAGAGCGGAGGGGGGGGAAGGGAAAATGGCGGTGCCATGCGGGGTAGAGCCCGCAGAGGTCCTGTGGGGTTAATGAGCGTTAATAATTAAGAGATCCTGTGCCCTCAGGAATCCCCCTCAAGGAATGGCGGCGTTCCCCGTTGCCTGTGCTCGCAGCCCCTCCCCCGCACGGTGAATCTCCCCGGTGCAATAAGCGCTGCCCTCCATGTTCCCCTCAGCAAGGCTCCCGCGCTTAGCCCCGCGCCCTCTTTGCTCTCCCAGGGAACCGCGTTTGCGGTGTCTTAGGATGACACAGGGTTTTCCCGCAGAGCAAAATCCCCCTCAGAGCCTCCCTGCTCCAAACATCCTTCTCCATCAGCAGCTCCGAGCCAAGCCAAGGCACGGGGTGCCCCCCCCCCCCGGCATTGCAGCTCCCAGCAGGGATCATTTCTGTGGAAATAATGGCACTAACGTGGAAAGCGAGCTGTCCCACGTCCCACACCAACACCGGGATGGAGCAGAGGTCAGGAATCACCTGAGGTCGGGCTGTGGACTCCATGCAGTGTTTACACGGCATGAAGGGCGAGTGGAAAAGTCAGGTTGTGACCGGGAGGGGTGAGCACAAAGCACATGTCCTGGCAAAGCTCCTCGGCACGGGATAGAGTGACTTCCAGAGTCACAGAAATGCTTGGAAAAGGCATTCGTGGTGGTGCTCAGTTTGGCTTTGGGCAGAAACACTGCTGGTGAATGCTTAGAAGGCCAGCACAGGGCCACACACACACACTAACAAATCCCTCAGGCATATCCCAACAAATGTTTGGGATACCCGAGGCCCAAGGGTTCCAGCATCCCTTTTTGCTGGCAAATTGCAGACTCTGTGGCTCCTCTGCTTGCTGGAACCCGGGTGGCAGTTTGGAGTTGGAATTGGGGTGAAATGAGGGAGAGGATAGGGAAAGGGGCTCCACGTCACGGTGCCTTTAAAGATCAGAGTGAACCATCACCCCGTACCTGAGCAGGTCCACCCCACCCTGTCCAGAGTACACCTTGCTCTCAGGTTACACCAGAGATGCTCCAGGGTGTAAATCGCACTGAGCACACCACACAGCGAGTCCCGTGGGAGCAGTGCTCGACAGCCTTTGCTTGTAAATCGTGAGCAGAATTCCAGAGGAATATTCCTAAGAGCAGCACTTACCTGCCCCTCGAAATTCCACAGTGACATTTGGATGTGCAACCACACTGGGCAGAGCAGGGTGATGCCAAGTGAAGGAACAGCAGTGAGTCAGTGCAGGGAGGAGGGCAAATGACTCATTACGTTAGAAATTAAACTCTGTTAACAAACTGGACCAAATCAGCTCATTTACTGTGTATCAGAAAAATTAAGGCTTGGCAGGCTGGGCACTGTTAAGTATTTTCTCTGGAGTTTCTTCAAATTATGGATTCCAGTTATTTTTGGACGTGAATTTAGTACGTTAGGGATCAGGCACTGCTTCTCCTTTAAGAGTTTAAAACAGAACTGGGAGGAGAGCAGAGATTATCAGAGCCATTCCTGCTTATTTATACAACGCTTGCATCTGCACTCCCTGGTTGAAGTTTGAAAATCACACATCTTCAAGGCCATCC